TCCGCGCCGCGCCTGGCCCTGGGCGTCGGGCGCGCCGTGCTGGGGTCCCGGGCCGCCTCTGGGCTCCGCGGGGCTGAACCCTGCACGCTTGGCCGCGCTGGGAGTCCTCTCCCGCCGCATGTGGTAGGACACGCCTCCGGGCTCCCTGCTTGCCAGTTGTTTGTGCGTTCGCGTTATTAGGAAGAGGGCTGGAGGGGCGCTGCGCCGTTGGGGCGGCGAGGCAGGATTGTCGCTCTGCGCGTGTATTACCTGTGCATCTTCCGCAGTCCCTGCCAGGCTTCCCCGCTAGTGAACAGGTGGTAAACGACAGTGTAGAGTTTATAGGATTATTGCGAGAGTAGATGAGATAATACAGTTGTACAGGCAATGTGCCCGGTGGATAGTGAGGGGTCAGCTGGTGTCACCTGTTAGCAAGTTTCTTGGGCTTACGGTGATGAGACTTTTGTGTTAAATGTTGAGATGTGAAACAAGTTTTTCCTAAGATAGGTCGAAGCTTTATACTCTTGGGCATATTTATTTTTAAAAAGCGCTGACCTTTTAGATTTTTTTGAGGTAAGAAGTTTCTCATAATTTCAGAGGTTAGCCCCTGATGGAGATGTATATAATGTGAACCTAGACAGCTGGGGGAGCGGTGTAGCAAAAAGCAAGAAATAGAGGGAAAGATTTGAGATTTAGATAGCATTGCTGAGCGTCGAAAATGTATGTCTGACCCTTAAACTTAGATACTGGGTACGCCTGTGGAGGATTAATTGTTCCTCTGCCTCCCCACCCTTCAACCTCTACTCCCTCCTGCCTACCTACCTGGTCCTTGCTGACTTTGACCTCCTCTGCCGGTGGCCTTTCTTCAGTGATTGCGTTCTTGGAAAGTTCGTACAAGTCAGACCATGCTTTGAATGTGCACGTAGCTAGTATTTAAGGGAACATGAGTACTTTTATAAATGGGAATTACTGCACCCAAAATTTGCATTTGGATATGTCAAGTTGTTTTAGCGTCTGTTCTATTTGACCCTTTTCCTTCACATTGGCACTTTGTATTTTTTTTTTTTTTTCCCCCGGTATGAGGGATCGAATTTAAGACCTTGTGGCCTTGTACTTCGTTTTAGACTTTGGAGCTACAGCTAGATTTTCTAGTACTTATTATCCCAGACTTGCACTGTTCAGTATGGTAGCTGTTAACCACAAGTCACTGTTGAAGTTTAAAATAAGATGAAATAAAATTAAAGATGCCTAGTTATGCTAGTCATAGTTCAAGTACTGAGTAGTAGCTGCTTGTGGCTAGTGGTTGCTACACTGGCCATGGCAAGCACAGAACATCCTTGCTCTTGCATGAGTCGGATTGCACTGAGCAGTGTTGAGCTTAAAGTCTGTCTAACATTTTGACTGTCAACAGAAAATGCCTTTTACTCTAAAATGCCTTGGCATAGTACTTTATATCTTGTAAATATTTATATTACAAAAGGCTTTTACATGTTATTTCACGTGATTTTTAAGACAATTCTATGATGTAAGAAGGGAAGATAAGTGGTAATAAAATATTCATATTAAGTAACTGGCAGAATCAGAATGGGAATTTAGCTAGATATGGTTTTGCTCATCACGATAATTGATAAGCATTTTTTTTCTTTTCTTTTTTTTTTTGGTGTGGTGTTGGGGATCCAGACCTAAACAGGGCTTATGAGTGCCAGGCCAGTGCTCTGCTACTTAGCTACTCCCAGCAGTAGTTCCATGAGGCAGTCGTTTGGGAGAGTTAAGATGGTTATGGAAGTAGTGGACCTTAGACTGGGGTCTCTTTTTTGGGCCCACAGGAAAAGGGTGGACATTGGCAGCTGTGGCTTCTTTTTCTTCTTAATAACCTTCTGGGATGTGTAGCTCAGCAACCCCTGACAGGGTTGTCACAGTCCTGCTGTGATCAAGCAGAATACACAGGAAAGATGTATAAAGAGCAAGTGTTTGAAGTGGTGGCGATTACTCAGTTTACTTAGTAAGATAGTATCTTACAGGAAAACATAAAAGAAGATATTTTATTTATTTTTCAAGATACAAGAATCTTTCTTAGTTCTTTGAAAAATTATATTTATTTTCTCAGTATACGAGATCTCATCTCTTTTGGGACCTGCTAAGTTTTTTTATCAGACCTAGAATTGTAGAAAAAACTATAAAACCCACCACCACCAATCAGTAATAGGGAACAAATAGAAACTACTTAGGATACTGGAGGTATAGCTCAGTGGTAGAGCACTTGCCCGGTATGCACCAGGCCTTATGTTTGAGTCTCAGCACCAAAACCACCCAACAAAATCAAAATAAACCAGAGATATTTAGATAAAGTACATATTTATAAATGATTTTTGAAATTTTGTATAATGTTTTCAGTAAACATGTATTTCCACCAACTTGCTTTTAATTCTATAAATTTAAAAATTTTAATTCTATCAATTAAGATCAATTTATTTCTTTAGCTCACAGTTTGGTAAAGTCATTATTCCAGTTATGAATGACTTCCCATGTTCATCTAATGAATATTATTCTAAACCAGGTCTAGAATCTGCATCTGTTGGCGCTTGTGCTCTTTCAGCTGTATGATTACCTTTTCTCTTTCCTTTTGTGCTTCCCTTCCTGTCCTTTTCAGTAAACTGAGTGGTACTTTTCCTCGGCTTTTTTTTTTTTTTTTTTTTTAAATAGGGCTGTCCTCCTTTATTTTATTTATTATTGCTATTTTTTGGTACCAGGGATTGAACTCAGGACCTTTAATATATAGCAGCAGGACAGGTCTTAGCAGGAAATGTTACCCTGATTTTCCAGAAGAGTCTGATATAAAAAAAATTCAGATTTCTTTGTTGTAAATGTAGCTGTATTATGCTGCAAAACAACAAGAAACCTAAAACCCAGGCTTTCAGAATTCTATGAATGGAGCAGTTCTTTCTGTTATTATTTTCCTGTAACTTTAGCCGAGTGTGCAGAAGGCCCTTGCTACAGGTGTTAAGACTCTAGATTTCTCAGCGTCGCAGTTCCCTCAGGCTTTGGGACATTCTTGTCTCATTTTTCCAGTTATTAAGGAAGTCTAGCATTGAACCTGCCATTCTACTTTGTGACCAGTCCTTAAGTCAAGAGCTTCAGTGTGTAGTTTGTGCTTCCCTGTTAACCTCCCAAAATGTTCTCCTTGCCTTAACTTAAAAAAAAAAAAAAAAAAAAAAAAAAAAAAAATTATTTGTAAAGGATCTTGCTATAAGCGCAGACTCACAGTGATCCTTCTATCTCAGCCTCCCCAGTGCTAGGATTACAGGCATGTGCCACCATGCCCAGTCTTGGTGGCCTGCATGGCATGTGGTATTGGGGATTAAACCCTGGACTTCGCTCTTGCCAGGCAGGCGTGTAGACCGCTGAGCTATCTCCCTGGCCACTGACTTGACTCTTGGGAATGTCTTCATTCTCAGCCATTCTACCCTGGAAACATGGCAGTTGTTTAGTTTAAAAATTGTGATTAATGTACAATACTGTTTTTCTTTGCCTACTTTGGAGTTTGAACTCAAAAGCAGGTACTCTACCACTAAGCTAAATTCCCAGCCTTTTTATTTTTTATTTTGAGACAGATTTTCATTAAAGTTGCTCAGGCTGGCCTCAAACATGGGGATCCTCCTGTAGATTACAGGTGTATGCCACTGTCTGACAGGAATACTTGTTTTTAAAGCTTTTTTTTGCTATAAAGCGTTAGACAAAAACACGTTCTTACGAGGGACACAAACACATACTTCCCCTAACATTTTGTTACTTTTTTAACAGAATCATCTTTTTTGAGGGTCATCATATCAGGGATGATATCCAATTTAGAGGCTTAAGTTGCCTCATTTGTGAATGAGGTAATAGGATTTAATGATTTTTGAGATATTTATTGTTCTGAAAGTTTAATTCTGGGTTTTATTTATAATAGAATTTTCTTTGGTGGGCTATTGTCTATTGGCTTTTTTTTTTAAACTGCGTAGTGAGACCAGACAGGCCTCAAATTTAATATGCTCCTCCCTTAGCCTTCCAAGTGCTGAAATTATGAGTTAACTCATTGTTTTAAGTTGAAAAACTCATTTTAATTGGGATAAAAAATTATAGTGATAATGATCCAGTTGCTAGAATAGTTTTCAAAGTTTTGGCATGATAGTTGTGAGAAGGGAAAGAAATTTAAGTCAGTTACCTAATAAGATAGTATCTTACAGGAAAACATAGAAGATATATTTATTTTTCAGGATACAAAAAATCTTTCTTAGTTCTAGTAGTTTTTGAATACAGAATATAGGCTGAAATGAAGTGAAATATTCAGGCACTCAAAAAACAGAGAGGTTCTTAGTTGTGTTTTTTTTTTTTTTTTTTTTTTTTTTTGAGGAACTGAGGATTGAACTCAGACCCTTGTGCTTGCTAGGGAAACGCTTATTCCACTGAGCCATCTCCCCAGCCCCGTTAGTTGTTGTTTTTTTAACTGCTGCTTCTCAGTAGCAGGGTCTTATTGGGCACCTTCACTGCAGTCACCAGTTAATGGCAGAATGAAAGCTCTCCATAACCTTGGTGTTGCCTTTTAGGGCTTCGTTTATGGAAGATAATTTTTTCAGAAAGCTACGTAAGAACAAAATAGGTTGGATCCTTAGTACTTCCCATCCTGGTAGACTTCATGAGTGGTAATGATTACTAAATATTATGGGTCTGTGATCTGTGCAAAGATAAGTACTTCAGTACCCCAGATGTCCCTGACCAGAGGTTGTCTTTTTCTTTGAGGTGATTGAGCTTGTCACCTGGTAAGTAGATGGAGAGATAGGCTTTTGAATTTTGATGTCGTCTTCATAGATAAGCTTTCAAGAGAAAAGAAAATTCTGTATAAGAATATATCCATACAAGCATATGCTTTTTTTCTTTGGCCTTTCAGGTTAATAAATTATGTCTGAAATTACTAAAGATACTAAATAACTGCTTCCTTTTCCAGCTCAGAAGATAAAATAACAGTCCATTTCATTAATCGAGATGGTGAAAAATTAACAGCCAAAGGAAAAATTGGTGACAGTCTGCTAGATGTTGTGATTGAAAATAATCTAGATATTGATGGTTTTGGTAAGTATGAAAAATTACCTAAAGTTCATAAGTGAAGCTACCTAATAAATTTTTTTTAAAGGAATTTTATTCTGTACCTTACTAGGTAAAATACTGAAATTCAAGATGTATTAGTGTTGCATTTTCATTTTAAAAAACTGATAGGGTGACATTTTTCAAATCTTTGTAAGGAAAGGAAATAATATAAGAAATCAATGGAGGCCTTATTCCCTTATTTTTGCTTTTGTAATGCAAAGCTGAGGATGGGAGGAAGCTTAAAGATACCAGGGTGGAGGTACATGTATTACAGAGAGGTATTTATGTTTTAGTTGTTTAAAAAATCTTTTTTTGTTTTGGTGGTATTCGAGATTGAACCCAGGGCTTATTGTGTGCTAGGCAGATGCTCTACCAATGAGCTGTGTTGTGTCCTCAGCCCATTTTATTTTATTGAATTTTTAAAAGCTTTTTATTAGTACATGTTTGCTGTACATAGCGATTACATTTATTATGGGAAGTTTGTACAGTGACATCATTCATTTTAATCCCTTTTATGTGCTCATCTCCTCCCGCCTTCCTGCTCTTTCCAGCTCTTGTTTTTCTTCTCATTTGCAAAAGCTCTGTTTCCGTTTTTCTTCAATTTTCTTGTTTTCCAAATCCCTTTTTCCTTCTGTTCTTTCTCCTTCCCTCTACCCTCCCTCCATCTTGTCCCCCTTCCCATTTAAAAATGATTTCCCTACTTCCTGTTCTCTTACCTTTGGTGTTCTAATTTCCCAGGCTGAGCTTGAATTTATGATCATCCTGCCTCAGCTTCCTGAACAACTGGGATTTCAGGCATGGGCCACCCTATCTGGCTTTTAGATTTATTCTTAAATGTCAAAGCCAGGAAGGGTAACTTACTATAAAAGTGTGTCATTTAGAAAGTTTTGATTTTTATATTTCTAAGCATATTTCTTACTCTTATGCAAAGCCCATCATTTTGGCAGTTGGCATCTTGTATTTTCTCAGGCCTACCCTGTATATCACCTCTCAGTTTTACTTAAACACCATTTCCATCTAGAATGGTCTTTCCCAAAGAGGAGTTCCCTTCACATGTCATTCTTGGGAAATGTAGGTTCTCAGGCCCTCTTCAGATTTGCTCTCTAGGACAGTGTCCAGCAATGTGTGTATTTTATCCATCTGCTCTGAATTCTGATGGTGAATGTTCATGTATGAGAGCTGCTGTCAGAGTGAAGTCTAAAGAGCGTAACTGATGGTGCCTCTTTTTTTGTTTGTTTGTTTTTTCTTTTTAGCTTAAATTTACCAACACATTTTGATCAATATTGTAACAATTGTATAACAAATTTAGTACCAGTTGGCAGGTGGAACAAGCAGGTTCTGAGGGTGATGGTCGGGAGTCATAGCCGGAACTGCCAGTGTGACCAGGTGAAATTAGCCAGTTGTCTGGGAGTCCAGAACAGCAATCTTTGAGTCATGTCAGAGGGTCAGCAACAGATGGTGGAGGATGTCTGCTCAGAGTCTTTCAGGAAGCTAGGAGGGGGATCCCAAGAGGGTGCAGGTGGGTGGATCCTGGATGAGGTCAATCCAGACTTATGTGTAGATGATCTGATCTGGATGGACAGGTGGGTCAAAGAATGACATGGCGAAGACTTGACCTGTGAAGAAAGCAAAATTGCCCTTGGGAGGCCAAGAGATATTAAAGAAGGGCCATTTATGTTCACAAAAAGCCTGCAATTTGCCAGGAACATAGGTTCTCCAAATCCCTTTTGCTTGTTTTCTGAAATCTTTAAAACATTTGTAACAGACAAAACATAGACATACATAGACCAAACAAAACCAAAAAATTAACAGGCGCCCAATGTATGAAGAACAGATCCCCACAATCAGGACTTAGCTCTACTCAAGAGGCAGGAAAACAGTTAACATAAAAAGCAGACTAGCCCATGGAGAATCTCAAGGGGAGATGTTAAATGAGAGGTCCAGCAAAAGCTGCTAGCCCCCCACAGTTAGAATCTGTAGGGGTAGGGGAGTGTTGATGACACAGAAGACATTTGTCCCATGATGGTCGGGGATGGACAAAGAAAGACAGACAAACACAAATAGACCAAACAAAACCAAAAACAAACTAGTCCAAACCAAATCTCAAAGAGAAAACAGACTAGTCCAAACCAAATCTCAAAGAGAAAACAGGCTAGTTCAAACCAAATCTCAAAGAGAAACCAAATTGGAAGGCATCTCCTCCACCAACTGGAGCCTTTTCGGATAGACAGGGTCTCCATATCCTCTGGCTCGTTCCTTAAAAAGAGAAAAGTGGTCAAGGACAAGGAACAGAGGAGTTGAAGGGTTGGATGGTATTTGGCCCATGATAGACACAAATAGACCAAACAAAACCAAAGAAAGAAAAACAAACTGGCTAGTACAGACAGACAGACAACAGAAAGACAGCACAACTAGACTTACCCAGATGGTTCCAGTTGGGCCCAAATAAATCCTGTATGAAAGTGTATGCTCCTAATTAGATTAAATCTACTGGGGGACTTGGTAAAGGTGGAAATAATTCACTTTACACAAGAGGCAGACTAGTCCAATGGGCCTAAATAAATCCTGTATGAAAGTGAAGTGTATGCCCCCTATGCAGGAGGACTTGGTAAGGGTAGGGGTATCAAGGAAATCTTTTATACAGAGGAATTAGTCTGCATGAAATTAGAGAGAGGGTCGAGCTGATGTTGCTAGCCCCCTACAGTCAGAATCTGTAGGGGTAGGGGAGGCATAAATCTCAAAGAGAGATAAAAGAAGAGGTCGCGCACATGCGGCTAGCCCCCTACAGTTAGAATCTGTAGGGGTAGGGGGTAGGGGTAAAAGAACCTTACCTAAAGAGAACCCGGAGGTCACGGAAACCTCTATATATGACCGAAGTCCATAATTTCTAAAGGCAACCAATTGGCAAAAGGGACACCTAGGTCCGTTTGCCTCACTGAAAACAGAGCTCTGCGGCGAAAGGGACACCTAGGTCCATTCACCTCCAATTGAGATCTCCCAAAATCTGTCCCACTCCAAGGACTCGGAGACCGGAGTTTGCGAGTCAACATCACAACCAATTTGAGTACTCACTATGAAACCATCAAGAAACCATTAAGAAATCAAGAAAACAGAACAAAAGCAAAGAGGCAAAGTGAAAGGAGAGGTTGACGAGGTGACTGTAGTTCTTTAAAATCTGTAAAGCTAAATCAAAACCAATTTAAGGAAGTAATTTACATTTGAGTTTAAGCCGGCATAACAAAATTTAGGTTGAATGTTACTTACCACGTCAAAAAGAAGAGGCCTTTAGGGATCCTGGACAAGCCCCCAAATGTTGTAGCTCAAAAATCAGATGACAACGAGGCAAGTCCAAAAGTTAAAAGAAGCGCTTTATTTTAGCTGGTACCCAGCAGCAACACCTGGCGCAGAGTGCCTAAGTGCGTGCCGAGCATTGACAAGGATCAGTATTTAAGCTTGAAAACCACAAAAACAGGGAAGGGGTGGAGAGGAATAGTCACAGGGATGAGGAATTGGGAGGAATAGTTCATTGAGATAAGATTTGGGGAACAGATATAAGACTTGAGTCACAGGGATGAGGAATTGGCAGGAATAGTTCATTGAGATAAGGTTTGGGGAACAGATATGATAAGACTTGAGTCACGGGTGAGGAATTGGTAGGGGTTGGCACATACAGAACAGGAACTCAGCGAGGTTAGAAGGGCAACAAAATGGGGTCAATTTTGACAGGGTAAAACAATAATTATCTCCAAATTTTTGATGGCTTATGTGAAACAGGTAACTACATTATTTTTGAACAATGAAAAACTCTCAAGTTACTGTCCAAGACAATAATGTATATTATATTTGTAAAGTGAGTCTAACCATCATTTTAATTGTCAATCTGGAGATAGATAGGTAGATGGACAGATGAACGGATGAATGGATGGATAGATAAAAGTATTTACTATTAAATGAATTATGTTTTATCCGGTGACTCCTTTTTTATTGAGATATGATGGCTGGGAAGGCCAGGATTGAAAAAGACAAAGACCTATCCCATGTCCAGAAATAGGCAGGGTTCTCCCCTCCTCTAATCATGATTACTCAGGGGTCCTCCATGGAGTTGGCAGGTGAAGATGACAGTCTTGCCATAGGGAGAGGATGGAGTGTCTGAGGGCCCGATAGTCTTGCTAGACTGGCTGGAAAAGTGAGCCTGGGTTCTGGGGCCTCTGCCTCAGCGTGCATTCCTACTTCCAGGGGCTACCTTTGGAGTCAGGGCGTGGTACAAGGGCCTCTTAAGGTGGCCTGGCTTTTGGCAGTGGTGGCAGGTGAGGTTGGTAGTCATTGAAGACTTCTTGAAACCCCGAGAATCAGACTTTAGTTCTGTCTTTAAAAGGTCACAACAAAGGCAGCTACTTTGTGCTTCCTTTGCTTTCTCATTGTGGGTTTCTCCCAATCTTGATAATAGAATTAAACGACTAAGGAGGCACTAAAGCTTTTTTTTTCTGGAGCAAAAGCTATTTTTTGTAACTTTTTTTTTTGTATTTTAGGGAAGGGTCTAAGGGTGTTCAGGGTCTCACTACAAGATCAGACTCATAGTGATCAGTCTGTTTATAGCCTCTCAAGACCTGGGATTACAGGCACACACCACCATGCCCAGTCTCAAATCACCTTCTCAGTGTGCCCTGGGGGCAGGGCCAGCATGACAGATCCGGGGATTGAACCCCCTCTAATCATGATTACTCAGGGGTCCTCCATGGAGTTGGCAGGTGGAGATAACAGTCTGGCTAGAGGGAGAGGATGGAGTGTCCAAGGGCCCAATAGTCTTGATAGACTGGCCCCTGCACCTGCTTGCAGGCGCTTTAATCCGCTAAGCTATTTGGCTGGCCCTGTAATTTTTTCTTTTCTTTTTTTTAATGTTTTTATTTTTATTTTTTGTTATTTATTTTTTTTGGCGGAACTAGGGATTGAACTCAGGCCCTTGCGCTTGCCAGGCAAGCGCTTAT